CCAGCGTGAAAAAGGTAAAAAATGATTTCTGCAATTCAATCATTGTTTGAAATTTTCGATTTTCCACAGCACGAAACACCAGAACAACACACGATTGCGATACGAATTATTGGATGAGGAATACAAAAACACATTACTCACTAATTTTTTAGGAAACACTCCGGTTGAAACGATGAATAATTCCTTTCGCGTATTTTTCAATGTCGATCACAAAATTCGACCGTACGTGATGAATATAAAACTGTCTTGATTTACCACCTGGTCACGAATGAATGACTAATGAGTTGAATCATGCTGCTAACCGATTAATTCCCGACCAAGTGATTTATCTATGACTTATGATGATAATGATGATTATACGGAGGGAAAAGAGATATAGAATACAAAATATAAGATGAACTATTGAACACGGATATACTGATAGTATTATTTTCGAAAGTCTAATGAATTTTTATAAGCGCGCATCCAAATTGACATTTGGTATAATAATAATGATAATAATAATAATATGTTTATTTCGACAGAATCAGAATACAATGTGAGAAAATAATGATAGCAAGTCAACATCAGGTAAATAAACATTAGAAAACCCACTTACGTGGTGAAAAAGTATGAATTTCGTTTGACGAGCTATTATTGAAAATACTACGATTAATAATTTTGGAATATAAAACTATATAAGTAGGTACAACAATTCAAGCGTGTAAAATATTTATATACAAAATAATCAAAATGGATAGATATAAAAATAAATGAAATGAAAGAACTCCGGTGTTAAACAATCACAAAAACTTCGGAGACGTATAATATACAGTGTGTCCCACTTTGAGCAGCACCACCTTGGTATTTTCTTAATCGCTGACAGATTTCAAAAATTTTGTGTTTCAACATGTACTTCTCAATGGTTCAATTTAGTTTAGGTTTCATAATTTGCCAATAAGGCTTCAACTAGTTATTTCATCACGAATTGCATGATGAAGAAGAAATCATCATGGTCTTGAAATACCTACCCTTCAGTTCAGGATGACAAGGAATATTTTATCAAGTTCCACTGATGGTATTACCCCCAAAAAATATACCGATCTCATCAATTTTCACTCAAGGAGTTCACAAAATGATGATCAAGTCTGCCGTGGAAACGTAACTTTCAATTATCTTTCTTCAACTATCTTTCGCTCAGGCATAAAAAATGAGGGAGACTAACGCAAATAGCTTTTTTCCAATAGCCGTCAAGATGGCTATGTAAATTACGCGATATTCAAATAACTTGACAGATAACGATTGTTGTTGAATGAGCAGGTGTTTATCAAAGTGTTTGTAGAGCAATGCCAATGCAACGAAAGCTCACTCTCTTGGAAAGAGTAGACCAGGTCATCAAGAGCAGCAGCTATTGAATTCAAAAGGATACATCAAGATCAAGATCCCATCAACCACACGACGGTGAGTCGGATTAGTAGAATGTTCAATAACTTGGGAACTGCATTGAATTCAAAAAGAAGGGGATGTGGGCGACAAAGAAATGATAATAGAGATATTCCAAATTATTTCAATGATAATCCGATAAGTAGTCTTAGACAGTCCTCTCTTGATCTCGGCATTCCAAAATAAAAAATTTTGAGGCATTTGAGAAATGAGAAAGTTATACCATTTAAACCAAAATTTCTTCACACCCCTGAGAATGAGGATAATATTAGAAGATTGGAATATTGCCTATGGTGTCAAGGAGAATTTCGGAATGATCCACATTTCCTCAATGAAATTGTATTCACAGGCGAGGCAACTTTCACGACAAACGGCATAGTTTCCTCACAAATTCCCGTTATTGGAGCACCGAAAACCCCCATGCACTGATGGGTGATTAACTGTAAACGGCAGTATTCTCAAAAAATCAACGTGTGGTGTGGTATTTTAGGAAACAAATTATAGGCACTTTTTTCTTTGAAGGCAACATGAATTCAGGAAATTTTCTCAATTTCTTGAATAATCAATTATGGTATGCACTGGAAGACACTCCGATCGAGCTACGGCGGGAAATGCATTTTCAGTTGGATGGTGCAAGCATTCATAATGCTAGACAAGTGCGCGCTTGGTTGGATACAATGTTTAGAGGGAGATGGATAGGTCGCAATAGCTTTTTATGGGGTATTTTGAAGCAGAAAGTTTATAAGTCTCGACCCAGAAGTAGTGAAGAACTGCGATAAAGAATTCTGAAGAAGGTGGCAACTAATAACAGGAGACGAATTTTCAAATGTATAGAAAATAATGGTGAATTGATCGAAAATACTGAAATTTAGGGAAAAGCAATGATAGAGTTGTTAATCATTTCTGTTAATAAGTATTATTAAAAAAAGGAAAGGAAACTAAAGTTGAAATCAAGAAAATTCAATTCGAATTGAAGCAACCATGAAAGTTATAAAAAAATATTCGTAGTTCAAATATCATCCTGTGTATTAGATCATTATGAAACATGTGCATGGGCGCCGCTACTTGAGGGCAAGGGGGGGCGGCCGCCCCCCCCTGGATTTTAGCTTTTTCAGTCAAGACGCGATAAACTTAAATAGCAGAAATATCAGCTGAGATCATCCCAAATGTAAGTTCATTAGTCGTTCGGTGAACTTCGCATTTGCCCGTCGGCCGTCGCAACCATGTGACTTCCTAAGGCGTTACAAACACTCGGAACGCAAGCACTTGACTCGAGCTACCCCACCACGCGATACGCGAACAAGTGTCCCATCAAGTATCAGTATTTTTTTAGTGGTCAGTCTCGTATCTGTCTGTGGCCTGTGCGGTGGATTGTTGTGCGCTATGGATGCGAAAGATTTTATGATTTCTATTTTCATTCCTTATTTAGATTCAGTCATAAGATCTCTGGAAACTCGGTTTTCCTCTGATAAAACAGCTGCGTCCTCTCTATCACAGTTTCATCCTGCTATCATTAGAGAGGGAATTATTCTTTGTGAAAATCAGTTGGAAGATATTTCAAACCAATTTGGAGTTGATAATTTAAGTGCGGAATATTGCACATGGCAGCAAGTGTGGAAGGAAAAAGAGTTTTCAGGAGATATGACTGAACTAATAAATAATGAATGTAATTTTTTTCCTAACATTAAAACTTGTTTGAAATTTTTTGTTATTATGCCTCCTACAACATGCTCGATTGAACGATCGTTTAGTACTCTCAAGAGAGTGAAAAGTTGGCTCAGATCAACTATGAGCGAAAACCGTCTTTCTGGACTGGCTCTCATAAGTATACACAGAATATACGTTGATAACAATAAGCTTGAAATAATTAATAAGGTCATTGATTTGTTTGGCATGGAGAAAAGAAATTTAAAATTCCTTTTTGACGAGTAGACTAGGATTGCCCTCAGTGCAGTATCTTTATTTTTCAATTTCATTTTTTTTGCTTTTATTTTGGTCGAAAGAAACATTGTTTTATTTATATTCTTGTTGCCTACATGCATATTGCCATATCAGTATTTACAAGTGCATTTTGAATATGGAGTTTATTTGTATTTTATTTTATATAGGTATTTACCAAAGAGTTTTGATTTAGATTTGCTATTATTATATTTTGATGGGACATGTATTCCAAAAGGCCATCGATTTGGAATTTGGGTCTTTCAGCTTTTATTTTTGTGATATTTTTGTTTTAATGTAGGTGTTTTGTTTCGAAAAAATAATTTTTTTTTTAATTCCTTGTTTTACTTATCAACTGACCTACCCAACCTACTTTACCTATATCCTCTTCACAATTTCTTCAAACCACACTGGTAGTGAAAATGAGTCAAAAGGGTTTCGATTTTACCTATTACTTATATCTAGTATAGTATACAATTAATTCTTTAAATTTGAAAAAACCGCCCCCCCCCTGGAATTTTTACTAGCGGCGCCCATGAACATGTGTTTTCAGGTAGTATCTAAAAATTTTTGTTCTAAAATTTGTTCTATCCGTCATTCGGTTGCCCCCCCTTACGATCAACCCTCAAAAGTCTTCGAAAGTCTTGTGCGAGCAAGGAATGACGGGGGCCTTACCTTTTAACGTGTGATCCCAAACACTTTCTTGGGCCATCAGAAAATATTCTGCAGTCGACGGGGATCGAACCCACGACCGGCAAGCGAATGCGAATTAGAATATAGACACTCTGTCTGCACGGCTACCTGGCCCGGTTTTGAATGAAATCATGATGTTAATTATACGTTTCTCATTATTTTCAAGCATCTGGCACTGCGTCGATAGCAATAATTCATTCTATTAATAATATATAATTGACAATTTCTAATTCGATACAAAATATAGGATATTTCCAAATCAGGAAGAATTTTTGATCACTCTGTATGATGTTGAGCAACTTTTTGTAGGCACTTTATTATATCTCATTCCTTTGACTCTTATTAAATCTCAATTCTTATCTCGTTATCAAATCGCGAAATTGAGTGCAAATTAACGCACAGGAAAGTGCCATTTTTCAATCATTTTCCTCAGGATAGTGATTGGCATTGGCGCCAATCGATAAAATACAGTGTTTTACATGCTTTTGGAAAATATACATTTTGTTATCAGATCGAAATTTGCAGCCGTCCCTCCTACTATAATAGTTGCATAAATTGGATTGATAATGGTGTACCTTTGTGTTTTAGGGCTCCTAGTTATGAAAAGAAATATAGATTTCAATGAATATTGAAAAAAATGTACAAAACTACTTTGAATTGTTCATATATTATTGTATATCCTTGAAAATAATAAAGACTATTTATTACCATTATCATTATTATTACTATTACAAGAGGTATAAGTCATATAGGAGTTTGCAAATAGTTTCAGGAACTGGGAATTAGCATATCAGTATTTCTGGTTTAAGTTTCAACTGAAACTGAGATGCTATTGAACAGAGTGGAACCATATTTAATTATACAATAATAAAAATGGGTAGATTGGGTAGGTTCCTTTCTTTGATTTGAATAATTGTGGGATAGGGATAACAACAGAACATATAGAACTCATGAAATCACCATTTATTTGTGTGTTTCTGAAATAATTCTATAAGAAAATACAATATATTGTGCAACAATAAATAGTTTCAACTTACAACATATGATGAGAAAAAGTGAAAGTGAAATAAATGATACACTGCAATATATTTTCACTGAATATTTTCCTTACTACTTTCCTCAGAAATACCTGTATTATTTGATACAAGTGATATAACATCACTAACATTTTCTTGTTCCACAGTTTGGCTTTCAGATTTTTGATGTGCCTCATTGTAGTCTGAACTTTCCTTTGCACTTTCATCTTCTGTAGTTGTACAGTTATCACTTTCTTCTGATGATGACGATTGTTTTGGCTCAGTAGATTTGATTTTCTTTGTGTTGCTTTTTTTTGTCTTTTTCTTTTTGAGTCTCTTCAATCGTTTTCTAGCTGTCCTCTCTTCTGCAAGTTTTTTATTTTCTTCCAATTTAACATGGTACTCTTCTTCTAATTTATCCTAAAAATTGAAAATCCTCAAGGTAGGTATGTGATAAGGCAATATTTGATTTGAACCATACCAAGAACAAACATTGAATTAAATATTAGTGGAATATTAAAAACATTAATCAAATAATACCTTTTCTGCTCTTTCTTTCATATATTTCTGTCGAGCATATTCCTTTCTTCGTAAATGCCTGTAGACATGGAATTCACCAGAACCTGCTCCTGCACTAGATCCCATAACATTTCTAACAAAATCTGGAACATTGGGCATTCCTCTTTCTTTTGGTCTGTCTGGAATTAAGACTGGTTTATCCTAAAAGTGAAAAGCTCCATATTTCAAACTAGTATTCTTAAAAAAATCTTCAACATACTGGATTTCTCATCAACTTTTCCAGCTTCAGACGTTGTAGATCTGTTGAATTTCTAACAATTATCGGCTTTTTTCCTTCTTTTTCTTCATCTTTTTCCTCGATATTCATACCGAAACGTTATTTCAAGAAATTATCGAATTATTAATATTGTTTGACTTAAATTATTCAGAAAATGAAAAAATCTTGTTTTTGATTACTGTGAAAATTATAAACATCTCTAACTGTGAAGGTCACCCAACCCAAGGATACCAACATAAAGTAATATCTAGACCTCAAAACGACGGCTAAATATCTAGACGGTCTGACGGGTTATCTGGGGTTATCCCGTCAGACAGTCTAGATATTTAGCCGTCACCAATACAGGGTGTCCCATTGGGATTGGGACCAATGGGACCTGATTTGTAGGGTCTTACAAGTTTCATATCCGAGATATAGGGTGTCTTATCAATTTTGTTCGATTCTTTGTGACGACATAACTTACGAACCACCCAGTATTTTTGGAATTTTGCACAGAATTTCTTCTTTTTCTACCCAAGCGACTGACCTATCAGTCACGAGAAAAATTCAGGTCCGGATTAACGAAAATTGATCATATTTCTGGACCTCAAGAAGAGGACACCTTGTATTTTTGAATTTCCAAAATCCGCTTACATATTTGAAAAGTGCACAGAAAGCATAATGGTATGGTGTACTTTTTAGTTTCCCGCATGCTATTTCACTAAAGTTTAATATCTGATTTTGAATTTGAGGTTTTATGCATTTGGATTGGTAAAATGGAATGTTTTTAGCTGCCCCAATCGATTAACAAAAATTATCATGAACCACCCAGTATATTCTTTTGGAATTTAGTATTACATTCTCCTTAGACAATTTTGTAAGAAGAGTGTAGCACTTTCGTACATTTCGTGTAATCTATACAAGCAACTAACCTATACAGGCCCGGATTACCCATAAGGTCAACCTATATGCGCGTGAACGTATACCTGCAGAAATGATCGAGGCGAGATCATAACAAAGTCTCTACTCAACAAAGCGTAAATTTGGGATTGGAGCAAAAATATTCCTTCAATCCGAAATGGTCCTCAGTCCAATTACCAGGACAGATATTTTTGAAGCGTTGATAATATTTATGATAGTATTTCTTGTTAATTCCTAAGATATAAAATAATAATCAATAATCAATGAAAAAAACATGAAAAGAAACATCCTAACCTTATTGTTTGATCCAACATGACAAATATAGAACAAGTTCTCTAAATTTCATCTGCTGTTTGACGTGACGTCACTGATGACATCACAGATCAAAGTTTGATCAAATTGTTGGACCGAGAGACACAGCCTTTATAGTCCATTTATGAGGGCCGCCTTCTCCAATCCATGTATCAGGATAATTCTGGACTCCTAGATCACCCGATTTGGATACCGTGAATTATCACCTGTGGGGTCCATCTTGAATCTGGAGTGTATTATTCTTAGGAGATCAATACCAAGGAGGAGCTAATTCAAAGAATCGTAGGAGGATGCACAGAAATAAAAGAAAAAATTAAATTGTTTCAATCTAAATGGAAGATACTCTGAGCAAAGGTTATAATTTTCATGTTTCGTGTTAAGAAGGTACATTTTTCATTATTCTAATATTCGAGGAAATACAATTTTTTCAGCATTGGTATGTCATTATATCGATTGATTGGTACAATTTCTTTCCAAGCAAATACATAAGTACGTTCTCAATAGTAATTTTGAAATACGTGGAGACGAACTGGAGCATTCATCCGCAGGTTAACTATATTTGGTACAAATTTACCACCGCGGAAACACCGGACTTGGCTTAAGTGACTTCCACCGTGGTCCTAATTGTTATTGTTTTGAGCACGCTAGTGTCAGACACTGCAGGTCCGAATTGGTTTGCACCATCAAATTTATTTCTTGACCAACAAAAATCAAGTTCCATGCAAAAATGAAGGAACTTTGGGTAATATTTCTCTCACTATTGACACAGTGATGATGATAGCGTTATCGAAATAATATTTCATTGTCAAGTTGTGATGTACTGGTTCTGAATTATGTCTTGTTTATCAAGAATTGCAGAAAGCAGGACGAATTAAAGGGGTGTGGGTTTCAAATGGTGAAATCACTACTGACGAATGTAATTTTATATGTATAATCTAAAGAACACAGTCTATCTAACATCTATAGATAACTAAACTACCCCAAAGTCCCAAAATAATGTCTAGTAAATACTGAGTCAACACCCCGTAAACACGAAGTATAACTGATGATTTCAGTAATGTATGATAGTGTACTTGGAGTATCCACTTACGACTCACTAACAGCTCTGGTGGTAAATAGTTATAATCGCCACATCAAACAGCAATACTCCATTCACTTGCGGAATTCTATCCTCAGGAACATTCGAATACCATCGCAGACGATGAATATTATCTGAATTGGCGAAACGTACCCAATTCAGCGATATGAATAATAGCGACAAATCTCTGCCGTCATCTCGAAAGATCTCTTGACAGTTCTCCCCTTTGACACCTCCCGCAATCGTGATGAAAGTTCAAAATCAATCAAAATCACTGTATACAGGGTCCGCTCACTACATATACCCCCCTATTAAGTTAAACAATTGATGAACAATCAATGGATCACTTAATACATAATTGACATAATGTTCAAAACAATACCAAAGACCTAAATACTAAAGACATTGACAACATCAATAATCTACAGATATTCAACTGGATGCTCATACTTTTTGAGATTCACTGCATTGTGCACTCCCAATGAATTTCCCAATGAGTCTTCAACTTCGTAGGAATTGGGACCCCTTTGTGTTTTGATTGAATGCGGACCTTCAATAAGTAAAAAAAACTTCTTGATCTCTTTATTTTCAGCCGAAGACAATTTATGTGATCTTACTAAAACTTCCTGACCAACTTCAAAAATTACAGGATTCCTCTCCTGATTACCCTTGTCACGGCGTTTATTTGCATTCAATATCAAATTTTTCTGGGCTAATAAAATTATTCCCTCTCTGTCTCTGTCATGCCCACCCATCGGGTAATCAACAATAGCGTAGAACGGGTTTAATCGTGGACGCCCATAGTGAATTTCGTTAGGAGAGAAACCTGTGCTTTCGTGAATTGCCCCATTCAGGTATTTTTCAATATCTTTCAAATACATACACCATTTTGTGTGCCTTGCAAAACAGAAAGTTCGGATTAATCTACCTATTTCACGGTTAACCCGCTCAGTCATATTTCCTTGGGGAAAATAGACTGAAGTGTGCAACACGCGGATATTCAGTTCCTCTAGACTATCGAACCAAATTTGACTATGGAACTGAGTACCATTATCTGTCAGTATGGCTTCTGGTTTTCCCACTACCGGAATATACTTATCTTTTATCACATGTAAAATCGATTGTGTTATAGCTCTCCTCAATGGAAACAACGCCACATACTTACTAAATGCATCAACAATAACGAGAAGTTGTGTAACACCCCCACGCGATTGTGGTAGTGGGCCCATTAGATCCAAACAAGCCAACTGATTACACCTGTCAGTTATGACAGCGTGCACTTCACCGAGCGTTCGTTTTGAAATTTTCGCCTTCTGGCAAAGATCGCAACCGGCCACTACTTTTCTTACTATTTCCCTCATTTTTGGAAAATAGTAATATTTACGTAAATATAACCAACACTTCTTAGCCCCGAAGTGCCCATTTTCGGTATGTTCCTGCTTCACAATGTTCAAAATACTGATTTTCGGCAAGCAAAGTTTGAATCCCGGATTCAGGTCACATCCACGACGGAATACTTTTCCATCATGGATTACGTACCATTTCTTGCACCGGACTGTTCCTTCAGAACTCTTCAATTCTCTCTTTATTTTATTACAGAATTCGTCATTTTCTTGAGAATCTGCAATCTTATTCAAATCAGATTTTATCGCTTGATTCAATTCTGTATTTATAGCACATACATTAACTTCATTACCACTAGGTACGGAAGCTGCTGATGTGATATCTTTCTTCGGAAAACGAGACAAACAATCGGCTACTAAATTCTCGGAACCCTTACAGTACTCAACATCAAAATCGTACTCTTGTAGATATAGAATCCACCGCGTGAGCCTAGCATTCAATAACCTACAATTCTTTATGAATGCTAATGCCTTATGATCACTGATAACTGTAAGAGGTCGACCTAAGATGAATATTCGCCATTGACGCAAGGCGTATAATATTGCTAAGGCTTCTCTCTCTGTAACGCTATAACGTACCTCCGCTTGTTGTAAAGTCCGACTTGCATACGCAATTACGTTTTTGTTGCCTTGCTCATCTCTTTGAAATAAAACTGCTCCTAGGCCGTATCCGGACGAGTCCGTTTGTATATAGTATTTTTTTTCGGGATCTGGATGATGTAAAAGAGTGACATCCAAAAATGCGTCTATTATTTTACAGAACGTAGCATTTTCCTCTACCCCCCATCGCCATATTTGTCCCTTTTTCAGGAGACGCAGGAGAGGAACAGTGAGTTCAGAAAATCGATGACAGAATCGCCTGTCATAATTCACAAGACCTAGAAATGAACGGAGTTGCTTAATATTCTTAGGCGTTGGGAACCGCTTGATAGCTTCTATCCGGGATGGATCCATTTTAATGCCCTCTGGGGTTATCAAATGACCCAAAAAATGAATATTCCTACATGCAAACCGAGATTTCTTCAATTTAACAGTTATGTTCGCGGCACTGAACTTTGAAAAAATTGTTGCTAACTGCTCCAAATGAATCTCAGCATTTTCCGAATGGATGACCAAATCATCTACATAAGGTATCACGTAACTTTCCACCTCTGGTCCCAAAATCTTTGACAAACCTACGATGAAGCTGCCAACAGACGTAGCAAAACCAAAAGGTAGAACTGTGAATACATATGTCTTTCCTTCAAAGGAAAAACCTGTATATTTCTGATGAGATTTCTGAATGGGTATTTGCCAATAGCTGGCAGTCAAATCCATGACACTCAAAACTTGGTTCTTAGTGAACTCATGAAGAAGTTCACCTGGGTTAGGAGGGGTCACATGGTCTTTCACCATCCGGCTGTTGAGGTATCTGGCATCGATACATATACGAATTGAACCATCTTTTTTACCTACCACAACAAGAGGACTCACGTACTCTGTGCTTGCTTGTTCAATTACCTTCCATTCGATCATTTCTCTTATTTGTCT